TATATAAGTACCAGAACAATCAACATCTATTGTGTATGAATCATTGTCTATTATCAACTATATAAGTACCAGAACAATCAACATTTCTTGTGTATGGAATCAACAACAAAGATGAAACTGTTTATTTTGAGCTATACAGATTTCAGAATAGTCATGACACAATAATAATAAAAAGATAACACTTACTGCAACAGCATGAATGATAATTTGATTTGGAGTGACAGACGTAGTGAACGGGATGGTCAGTTGTGGCGAATGAGCTAATAAGAATGTTTGTGGGGTTGATGTAGGTGTGAGCTGAACAGTCTGTGGCATGACTTCTAGGGTTTGCATGATAGGTGGAACTCCCATCGAAGAAGCAGCAATGGCAGCTGCTGATGGATCAATAGCAGTGATTGTAGTGGGAGGAGCAATTGTGGTAGTAGCCAATGAGTGAACTGGGATGGTGGTAGTCAAAGCTTGAAAAGAATATAAATTCCCTCAAAACAGGTTATTAAATAAATCTTAATAATTACTTCTGTACTGTAATCAACATTTCATGATGTTTAACTTACACAGAGGCATGGAACGTGAACTTAAAATCAAGAAAATACTGATACTAAGAATGGTTTAAAATTCTACCAGAAAATAGTTAATATTCCAAGTTCTTGTTAAACCACCATTATAGATATTATAGAAAAAATATGTTGACATTAGGTAACATTTATTTAGTGTACTTCAAAATTAGGAATGAAAAAAAAATGTTCAAATTTATATTTCTGCACAGCTCCAAGAAGCCTTGTCTGTAAACAATGCACTTACACATTTTTTTAGAATTTTTCTGCCCATCTCAAAGCATATATTCTTATTTGTTAAAAACTATCACCCCTTGCAAATATAATTAGCCAAGTCTTGTTTCTCTTGCAATTTTCCTTTTCTGTCAAAAGATGTATTATTACATTCCTCCATTTTTCTTCTATGACAAAACATCAAGTAAGCCTTATTAGGGTTAGAGAATATGGCAGTGATGGCAAAATATTCGTGTGACTCAAGTACTTATTAGTGTTAAGTTTATTGTATTCAAAAAATGCACATAAATAAAATATATTTTAATCTATTGAAAACAAAATATATTTAGATATAAATGAATTTTATCCAATAATACTGTTTTATAGCTTGACCTGACCTATTCTGAAAGGTAAAGCCTTAGCCTCAAAATAAATCTTTGTCGGTTTATGTAATTTTTTTTTTCTTTTTACAGGTTGATATCGACTGGATTTATAAATTGGAAATTTCTAACCAACAATAAAAAAATTAAACTCAAATACAAAAAGAAGTACTTTAATGTTTTAAAAAAAACTGTATCACTACAAAATTTTGGAAATTTCATGCCAAAAAATCACTAGCAAACTAACTCAAATTATACAATTTTTTTAAAACCCAAAGCTAAATACTAGTTAGTACATTTATCCTAAGTTTCACATGATTTGGTTAAATATTTCAAAATATTCACTTTATATATGAAGCTAAGTTTGTGTTCTCACCCTTCCACCATTTGTTCCATATACGTTTCCAAATTTCTTGATCAATCAACACCTGATTTGACAGTGATACAGAATGACACGAGGAAGGCCATGAGGGGAGTTAACCCACCCATCTAATTTCATATTAATAGCATTCTTGAAAACAGTATGTCTTTCTTCTCAGTATTGGTACGTCTATGTATTTTTATTCCCCTTTTAAAGTTTATTATGTTGAGAAAAAAAAATTGAAGCACAATTTCCTATCATTTGTTACAAACGAGTTTTTATTTCACCCATTCAACAGACGGGTACTCCCAGCTAGTTGTAGTTACAAACAAGTTTTTATTTCACCCGTTCAACAGACAGGTACTCACAGCTAGTTTTAGTTACAAACAAGTTTTTATTTCACCCATTCAACAGACAGGTACTCCCAGCTAGTTTTAGTTACAAACAAGTTTTTATTTAACCCATTCAACAGACAGGTACTCCCAGCTAGTTTTAGTTACAAACAAGTTTTTATTTAACCCATTCAACAGACAGGTACTCCCAGCTAGTTGTAGTTACAAACAAGGTTTTATTT